ATTACTGTGAGGGGGAACCCAGGTGTATGCATATTCATTACATCAATATGAATACTACATTATGAAAATTGAGATGTAGTAGAGTGGGTCGTATCATAGATTCTGGACAGAACACGAGACTCTTACACCGGCCCTGTAGTCAATCATTTATTATCATAAGTAAGCACCAATCAAATTAATGAGTGTAATTTTCAATAAAAATTTCAGGTCATATAGGTGACATACATGGCTTCACCTGTGATGTTTGTGGGAGGTATCGCTTGAATAAAGATGAAGAATAGAGCCATATACGAAGTTATAATTCCAGAGTAGCAAACAACTACGAAATGACATTAAATAATAACAATTTATCTCACGTTTAAAGAAAAGTGTAAGCTTATACTTAACATAAAGAAGAAGCAGATGAAATTTCTGGGACACGTGATGAGAAAGGAGGGCCTGGAGAATCTGATACTCACGGGACGAATAGAGGGAAAAGTGACAGGGGAAAGCAATACATGATATACGTGGCGGGCGTGTGATGGCGGAGCGTGTTCTGGGGTAGTTGGCAGAAATACAAAATCTATTAAGTGCCACAAGGGATAGGGGAAAGTGGAGGGCCATGATCGCCTACGTCCTGAAAGGACACGGCACATAAAAAGAAGTGCAAGTCTTCTTGTAATTCCAGCGATATGATGCCTTACTGTTTCCACGACCAGTTTATTATCAGTTTGAAAGCGGCTCCATCCAGATGACGATGTTGTTGCAGTAATGCAAGGGTTGCTTCAGTCGCTTAGTGCCATATTGTTCGACACTGTGCACCAACGGTTCAAGGGCATCAATCTCGATGGTTACTATATCGAACAAGTATCACAGTAGTACGGGGTAACATATGCATAATGTTTTATATTTATATTTATAAACTAGCTTAATTTGTAAATTTTTGCAATTAGTACATCGTTCGTACTTAATGTATGAACAAAATAACTATTAATGGACAGATGTAAAAATAAAATAAAAGATAAATGATACTGCGAAATACTTAATTTATTGATTGATGACACTGTGAAATATTTAATTTATTGATTAAATCGTTTTCTACGGTTTATCAACTCTTTGCAGGTTATTTAAAGCCAGAAAATATTTTTAGATTGTAAGAATTTTCTCTGTTGAAATAACAATGGTTTCGTGATAAAAGCCTTATTAATTAACCCATAGCTGGGGAGAGAACAGGTGGATTCATATCTAATCATAATTTGATAAACAAAAAAGAAATTATAATGTAGTTATAAAGTGGGGGATCAGTACTATATTATAATCAATATATAAAACGATCCCTCACTTTGAGGCCATGGTAGTTTCTATACATTTCTACTCCATAGAATGTAAATAAATCTAAAAAGCATGATTTGTGTAGCTGATCAGTATTTCATTGATTAATTGATTGATTCGTTTTCTACGGCTTATCAACCCCTTGCAAGTTATTTAAAGTTGGAAAAAATATTTTCAGATTGGAAGAATTTTTTTTTTTATTCAATAATGGTTTCAATTTGGCTTAATAATAAGTCTGGGGGAGAACAAGATTCATAACTTTCCCAAGAGTATTTGCACGGAAGTGAGTATAATGAAACCCAATGGCAATTGAAACTCGACTCTCCGATTAACAATTCGGTAAAATGTTATGTCAAATGAACAATAAGTGATACTAACTCTATCCCACAATAATTGTTACATTTACATACACATTTTATATAAAAAAATCTAACAACAATTATGGAACATTGGTTGTATTTCTTTTATAGATATATAAAAAGCTTAAACATTAGACAAGTACTAAGAACAAAGTAAAATTAAACGATATTGAGAATTAGGTAAACTTGGGCCTTCCTACCCGCAAAAACCCGTTCAAAATCGGACGTCAAAAGGACTTTTTCTCCCTCAGGACCGCCATTAATTTAACTGCCTTCACTCCTCAACAATTTTTATGGTTTTAAAAAGCGATGATTAGAATTGTAATAAAAACCTAAACATACGATGAAAATGAATTTATATGATTTTTCGTTCTTGAGAATTTACAACAAAAATATTAAACACTATTTATTTATTAAATTGTTTATTTACAAGAATAATTTTACAACATTCTAAAATCTAATACAATTAAAACTAATGCAATGCATTTGTTATGAATAATCAAGAGTGGTCTCCCCTTGTTTTGTTACTCTCCTCTTTGAGAGAGCTATTTCTGTTTACTGGGACACTAAAAGGACACTATACGGGAACCTTGTATTCTCAGTTGAATAAGGCTTTCTTAATTCCTACACCTGCATAATTTTGTCATTATATTTATAAAGAAATAAATATGAAAATAATTTTTTATTCATAAATTTATAAACAATTACTAAATTATTAAAATATGTGAACCAACTATAATGAAATCCTTATTATTTACCAATTATTAAAGTTTGAATAAATTAAGCAATGAGCTGATATTTTGCAAACCATTCCAATAAATACTATTTCAGTTTTTTTTAAATATCAGACGAGAATTAATTGTATTTTAACAAAATGTTTAAGTATATAGCGTATTTAATTTTTTCTGTTTATATTATTGATAAAATAATCAAAATTAATCCTCGTCTGAGTTAAAAAAAATGTCTTAAAATACGTTCCACCAGTGAATCAATGGCCACTAAAGGGTTTTAACGCCGTTACTTACAACAGAGGAAGTTTTGATTAGTTTCATTAAGTTTGTTTTCGTGCCCGCAAAAAAAAGCCAAAAAACACAAAAAACAAAAACGAAGTGTCAAAAGGATGTTTTTACCTTCGACACCGCTATTATTTCAACTACCTTCACCCCTCGGCAATATTTATTGTTTTAAAAAACGATAGCTTTTCTTCTTTATGTGCCATGCCCTCTCAGGATGTAAGCGATTATGACTCTCCACAATTTACTGCTCTTTGTGGCTCTAAATAAATTCTGTCGTTTCGTTATTTCTAAGCCCTTTTCTGCCACCCATTTACTCAAGCTCATTACGAATGTTATGCGTTGTTTTCCTCTGTCCCTCTTGCCCTCAATCTGTCCTGTGAGTATCAGATTTACCAAGCACTCCTCCCCCATTATGTGCCTCAGAATTTTCAACTATCTCTTCCTGCTGTAAAATATAAATTTCCTTCTTGATTCCATTTTCTCTGAAACCTCATTGTTGATCATATGATCGGTCCATGGTATCCTTAACATCCTTCCGTAGAATCACATTTCAGTTGCTTCAAGTCTCTTTTTCATTTTTTGAGGATTTTTTCCAGCATTCACTGCTATATAGGAAGACAGATATCACGTAGCAGTTTAGTACTCTTTGTTTCTAACTAAGTTTTACTGTCTTTTAATATTCTGTTTTTTTGGAGGGATGTATCTTTGGCGAACTAAATGTGTCTTCGGATTTCAGTGTCACTTTATCCGTTCTCTGTTAGAACACTTCCAAGATATTTGGTTGATTTTGGTATCTCTAATTTGTAATATGCATTTTGGGCTCACCCCTTTTTGCTAATAACCATGAATTTTGTCTTGCAGTTGATGTTTAATCCTTTGTAACAAAACCTAAACACGTGAAAGTGAATTTATACATTTTTTTATTCATGAGAATTGACAACCAAAATAATAAACACTATTTATTTATTAAATTGTTTATTCGAATGGTTGGCAAAACATCGACTAATTGCCAATCGATTCGAACTTTATAAAATGGTAAATAATAATGATTTCCTTGTAGTTGGATTCCATATTTTAATAATTTATTCAAACAGGTTTGGTTAAATAATTTAGACATATCATGTCGATTAGTTTTCCTTGTGATTCTTTTAAGTTCGCGGATTCATTTTTTGGTAGATTTAGAAAATTGAATAAGAAAAATACCAAAATTTTCCTTTCTATAGTTTTTATTTTTCCAAGTACTTTCAATCTCATCTGAGACTATCTTCAGGGGGTTAAGTTGTCTGTGAGTATGTATATGTGTTTCTGTGAATTTAAAACATTTCAACTGTTTGTTTTTTTACTGCTTTAATCAGACCTGTTTGAATGAAAATATGTTGCCCAAATATACACAATTTAATAATTTAGTAAATGTTTATAAATTTATGAATAAAAAATTGTTTTCATATTTCTTTCTTTATAAAGTGGTAAAATGATAAATATTGTAATGCATTAGTTTTAATACAATTGTATTGTTTCTTACAAAGTTACAAATACAGTGTAACCCGGATGTAAGAGAGTTGTCTGGACCGGAGAAGAAGTCTCTTATATCCGGGTTTGGTCTATTTTATATACATTAACACAGGCTCTAATTTGGGACCAGAGAAAATCTCTCTTATATCCGGGTTTCTCTTATATCCGGGTCTCTTATATCCGAGTTACACTGTATAAAATTATTCTTGTAAATAAATAGCGTTTATTATTTTTGTTGTCAATTCTCAAGAACAAAGAAAATGTATAAGTTCACTTTCATCTTGTGTTTAGGTTTTATCCCAATTCTTATCATCGCTTTTTAAAAACAAAGTCCCAGGATTTTATTCTTGTTAAACAGTAGATTAATTGTTGACACTCGTGAAATATTTGACACTTCATCGAGTCTATTGTCGTCAATTTTCGCTATGGAGGATTGAACTCACGTGATCCTATGAATTAGGATAGAGGAAATCCCACCAAAAAATTTCAAGTGTTTTTTTTTTTTTTTTTTTTTTTTCTCAAGCCTTTTTCACAGAATATCTAGGAAGGCAAGAGATAGGGGAAGGGCAAGAAATTGATTATACTTCTATTGTTTCGACCACTACTACTACTACTACTACTACTACTACTACAACTACTACTACAATATTTTGGTTCCTTGTACAACTAAAAAAATGTTTTGTTATTGTTGTGGCTTTGTTAGCACCATTCCACACGAAGCATTCTTGGAGAAACGCTCTCAGTAAATTGTTTGTCTAATTATTGTTCGCTTATTCTTGTCCAGTTCAACTGAACCCGCAACATGGAAAATATAACATCGTTGCTGGTAAGAAAAACACTATTTTTCTTATTTTACATCACAGAATTTTAACAACTACAGTGAATCAATTAGATTTTTTTTATGTTTCAAACAATCTTACTAGCAATAATATATTTATAACGTAGTTATTGCACTGTTTATAATGTTACTACTTAAAAGCTATTTGTGGTGAATGCCTATATTTGAGTAGACGTATCGTTTATTTCTTAAAAGGTACATTTATTTATTTTCGTCTACCGGACTGAATTCATATCTTTGCCAAGGATATTTGCGCGTAACGAACCCAGCTGTAATTGGAACTCTGCTCTCCGTTTAACAATTCCGAGCCATTATACATTACATCCTCACCCCGCACATCCAAGCTTATAGCATCAGGTATTTCCAAGCGGGAACCCATCTAAGTACTGACGAGGCTCGACGTTGCTTAACTTCGGTATTCGTACGTGAGCTGTTGTTTCAACATGATATGGCCGTAAGCCATTACCACTTGTACATCCAAAGCGGTCACCCATCTAGGTATTAACCAGGCTGGACGTTGCTTAACTTCGATGAATGTATGGGAACCGGTGTTTGAACGTGATATGGGCTGTAAGCCGTGTGTGTATATATATATATGTGTGTGTGTGTGGGGGGAATTTGGATAAAAGTTTCAGGATTAAAACAAAATTCTTCGGTTCGGACCATTTTTTCTGTTTTCCGGGTAGAATTTGAACATAAATTGTACAATGCTTTTTTGATGCTTTCAGTATTCGTAAACACCTATCAAAGAAATTTTGGAGTCCAATTAAGTTGTGTCTATGGGTATTCACTGTTTCCTTTATATATATATATATATATATATATGCTGATTGATCTTACTGACGGGCTATTGACAGTCATATATATATTTAGATTTGTTTGTTTTAATACGTACTCTGGCTGGAAACAATTGCTTTGCAAACTTTCTTTGAATTAAATGTCTCATGTATTCGATTCATGTGAACCATAAACTTCATAAACATAAACATTGAAAAGAAGTGAACGACAATTTTCACGTGCAGCAAATGGGAAAATATGGATTACATACCACGAAAGAACTGGGCCCACTTTACAAACGATACACAGTTTAGTTTACTTAAATACATTTTTTTTAATCCTTTCACTCCAAGAAAGTCGATAAAGTCCACCGATTACTGACACTGAAAGAAATAGGGATGGCAATAAAAGATTAGATTCCATTTACATTTTTGAAGTTCGTAGATGACATGAACACCAGAAACTGAAAGAGAGTTTCATAAGTGAGAAGTACCGGAGAATAAATATTCAGCTATGACCTATCTGCCAATTGAGTACTGCGCTTAAATTCGTGAAATCCATGTACCAAAGCGGAAAGCGAATCAGAACAATTACAATGAGAATATTAAAAGAAAACGCAAAGGGAAACATAACAGGTCAAGATCAATAACATTGCAGATTCTTTGTTTTTTTTTAAGAATCAATAGGCACCAGATTAGATATGGCAGCAATATTCAATTCATGGACGAATGGTAGATTTATAAACGTGCAAGATGGATTCTGGTGAGTAAAAGTCTAAACGAGACAGTGTACCAACCTTCTGAGAAGCAGACATAGCAATTGATTCAATATAATGGTTACAGTGGGAAACGTTAGCCCCGGAAGGTGCATAATAATTATATTTTTTATTTTTATTTCTTGGTAATTCTTATTATAGCTTGAAATATATGTTTTAATCACATCTCAACCATGCTATTTATTGCGTCTTCACCCGTTGTTGAGGGTCCTATCGTTGACGCAAAATGCGACAGCGAAATCCGAAGGCACATTGCAATAACGAAATATGCCTCCCAAAAACTAAGCAAAGTATTCAAAAACAAGAATATTTAGTGAAAGATGCCTTCCAAAAACTAAGAAAAGTATTAAGAAACAAGAATATTTAGTGAAAAGTGCCTTCCAAAAACGATACAAAGTATTAAGAAACAAGAGAATTTAATAAAAAGTGCCTTCCAGAAGCTAAGCAAAGTCTTAAGAAACAAGAAAATTTAGTGAAAGATGCTTTCCAAAAGCTAAGGAAAGTATTAAGAAACAAGAAAATTTAGTGAAAGATGCCTTCCAAAAACTAAGGAAAGTATTAAGAAACAGCAAAATGTAATTGGAAACAAAGAAAACATTACTCAATTGTTGTGTAATATCGGTACTCCTATATGGCAGTGAATGCTGGTCAGTCTCATCAGAAGAAGAGAGAGATATGGTTCTACAGAAGGATGCTGAGAATACCATCGAGTGAACATGTGAGCAACGAAGCCTTTTTTAGGAAAAATTGAAACTAATAGGACACATATACTTGGAATCAGAAGAAGAGTTTAAATTTCTAGGGCATATTATGAGAAAAGGGGGCTTAGAAAGTTTGACACACAGTACATGTTGAAGGCAAGATGGACAGAGGAAAGCAGCGAGTCACCTTCCTGACGAGGACGTGTAAATGGTTGACAGAACAGGGATTAGGAGAGATAGCAAATAAAAAAAAAATTACTAACAGTTACAAAGGATAGGAAATTGTGGAGAGCCATGATCACCCATGTAATGAGAGGACACGGCACATTGAAGAAGAAAAAGAATAACGTCTGTTGTGTTCAGAATTTATTTTTTTATGACTTGAGAAATATATTACCCCAGAACCACTCGACCAGGGAGGGGTTTACTGATTGGGGGACCCCGGGAAGTACTTTGTGACCCTCGCTATCTTTTCAACGTCCTGCTTTTCTTCTACCTACGTTTATATACGTTACAAATTATACTAAGCACGACTGACTATTAATGGTGACTTATTTTTTTCTTTTTTAACCAAATCCGTGAATTTGTTTTAATCGTGTTAAGTCACTAAACTAAACACTAGACAAAATTCACTACTTTTTTAAAAAATAATCTGTTAAATTATTCAACTTTTAAACACGTTGATGTTAAAAATTGTCGGAAAAACATTGTTGATTAATTTAAGATAGAATAATCTGTTATGACATGTCTCTAATTTGTATTAAGATACATTCTATTTATTTCCAATTTTTATAGTTGAATTGTTCACCTATACAGGATGGGATGTCGCCATTTCATATTTTTATTTTTGTCTTAATCTGTGAATACTTTTTGCTCATGCTAAGTCTAAAAAAAAAATCACAATATAAATTCCACTATTTGTTTTATCCATAATAATGAACGTGTTCAAATTATTTAACTTTATAAGAAGAAAAATCTCAAATTGATGTTAAAAATTAGCGCAAGACATTGTTGATTTATTTAAGATGGAAGGATCTACTATGATATGTCTCTAATTTGTATTTACATTGTATTTATTTTCTATTTTTCCAGTGTAATTGTTCACTTCTTCTGCACACGATCAATTATTGTACATAATTAGATTAGAATAAAATTTTTTGTTTTACATGAATACTACCTTATGAAAATTGAGATGTAGTAGAATGGGGATCGCGTATCACAGATTCGGGAAATATTAGAAATTCGGAGGAGTATCATAAATTCGGCGGGGTGAGGGCACAAGACCCTCGCACCGGCCTGTTATAGTATTTTTGATTTATTGAAAAATATTTGTCAGATTTTTTGTTTCCACTTTGCGTTGATTAGTCATATGCAATTCTGAGGCATTATCGATTGAATGACAAGTTAGGCATCCGATAATGTAGTGATTGGGCGGAGCAGGTTCGAATCCTGCCGGAGAGCGCACACACGGACACACATACACGTAAATCGGCTAAAAATACGGTCAACGTTAATAGGTTTATTTAGATAAGTAAATTGAAGTAACGGAATACACGATAGTCAGCAAATAGACTTAAATATCATTCGCACCATATAAATAATTAGAACGTTGGTATATCGAAGCAGGTGTGTGTGTGTGTGTGGGGGGGTTAAAGACAGTGTCTGAAAGGGCAAGAATGTATCTATAAAAGTAGGCACCTCCACTGAATTTTCGATACCAAAGGCTTTTAATGAATTTTTAAAAATGAAAAAGCATTCTTGAAGATTTAATTTTAGCTTTAATTGAAAGCTAAATGATTATATTTACTATTTCGTAAGCAAAATATTTTGGTGTATTTCAAACAGGAATTATATAGATTGGAATGTCAATTTTTTGCATGCTTTCACAAAATCCATTACAAGACGCCATTTTCCAAATTTCAGACATTTGTAAACAAAATTTAATTATCGGTTTTAAAAATCTTAAAAACATAAAATGTATATTTCTGACACGTTATTTGAGGAAAATTAGCAAATTTAAAGTTAAATTAATCTGATTTGAAACAAATATTACTTATACCATAAAAACATAGTATACACGCATTTCTTAACCAATTGTCCAGTTTTTCTGACGTGCTGATTGATCTTACTGACGGGCTATTGACAGTCAGTATGGATGACCAGAATTGATATCAATTTACGAAATCTAAGTGAATCATTTTTTTTGTTTTTAACTACCTAGTAATTTTTACAAATTAACATAATATTTTCAGCAATTATCTAATATTTAAAGTTCTAAAACTTTGAAAGGATGATGTGCAAATCCAGTTGAGATGTAAACATGGAATGAATAACGAATTGCAGACTAGCGAATTTCTCAGTAAAGGGAGGAAAACACTTACAACACGTGACCTTTTAATAATAATGTCATGTATAGACGACCATAGATACAAAAATGGTAACGTTTAAATTAAAAAAAAATCTTTTAAAAATATTGGGTGTAAACGACTTTTATGAAGCTTTTCAATTTTTGATTCGTAAACAGTTTCTACTTAATTACAATATCACCTAAAACAAAGAAAAAAATGTAGAATTTTAAACGATTTTTAAATTATTATAATTAAAATTTTAAAAATGAAAACAATTCTTGTAAAAATTTAGAAATTATTTATTGATCAAAAAAAAATTTTCTTAAGACAAAAGTGTCCTTAATATATCTTATTTATAAAAGTAATTAAAAGCTTTTCTAATTAAATAATGTCATAGTTTTATTGCATTTTTTATTTTACGATTCGGGGTAGATTTTGGGTAACTGGGAATTCTGTTTGAAAAAAAAGTGGATGGTTTACAATCTCCAATGAGTCCTACTTTTAACTAATGAAAAACTTTTGAAAAGAAAATTTAATGACTTGAAATTTCATCAAATTAAGTAAGTGGTGGGTAACATATATAAAAAAAATATTTTTATAAAGATTTTCTAAAACAAAAATATTCAAAATTAATTTCATTCATTTGTGAATAAGACTTGAAAGTTTCATTAAAATCCGGCAATTATTTGATTTTCGCAAGAATTTCCGAATGAATGTGTTTTCAACGGAAAAAGGTGCAAAAACACTAAATGTAAATATTACGTCAATCGCTGACGTAAAGAAAAAAAATTTTTAACCAAAATTTCGAACGTGCTAGAAAGGATTAAAAAATTGAATAAGATAATTAAAAAAATACT